TTTAAAATGAGAGTGAAAGTAGGTGTAAAATAAAATCCTACAATTTGTTAGACATACAACAAATTTCATAAAATGAAATTCTACAACTTCATTTTTCTGTGGTAGGAAGTTAGGAATTTGTTCCAAGTGCAAATTGAAGAAAAGATAGAATCTCTATAAGGGTCTTTCCTTTCCCTTTCTTTCTCTTTTTCCGTTTACCTGTGTATCCTTCGAAACCCAGTTCAAAGCCTCCATTTGAAGTTTTCTTCATTTTCCTCGGCAAAGTAAGCTCTTCCTTGCCTCATGTTTCCCGTGTGCCATATTTATTCCTCTGTTTCTGCACCCTGCTTTACAGTAGCTCATCTTGCCACATATTTGTCTTCCCATCCTGGACTATGAGCTTCTTCACGACAGAAGCAGCAGCTCATAATCTTATATGAGCCGGCCCATGAGCTTCTTCATTGCTCATTCATCTTGAGTATCCTTTTGTATAATGCAGTCCTTAAGACACGGCATCTTCCCAATAACATCTGAGGACTGAATAATAAATTTCCATGTCAAGAATTCTAACGTATATTCATGCCCCAGGTCATTTAGCTAAATGAAGTGGAGAAGAATGAACCAGAAGAAAAAACAAAGGGATATCCAACAAACCCAGGGTCTGAGAAGGTGACTAAAAAATATTTAAGAATGGACTCTAAAAATCTATGCTCCACCAGAAGGATATGTAATGGCAGTTTCAAGCATTAAAATATTTCTAGTAAACTAAAAAAAAATCAGTTTTCTAAATCCTTCTTTGCATATAAACTTTATTTAAACCTTGGCCTTGGGAATAAACACATCATCTGAGTTTAGGTTTTCAGCTTTCTCTGCTACAGTGGGAATAGCTTGTATATCTTGATGTGATCTGACATGCTGAGCAGATGAACCCACTTTATAAAAGAGTCTTATAAGCAGCGAGGTCCTACATCCTCAAAGATGGCTCTGTAAATAACTAAATATGTGATGAAGGAAGTAGGAAAAAGATAGTACAGAGGCAGGTCCCCTTCATGCACTGTGACATGAAGATGGTTCCTTAATTTCAGTTGCAAATGTTGCTTAAAAAGCCTGTCACTATCTGTGGTTTTGTGTCTGGTACTTGGTTATTGATGAGGTTGGTAAATTTAAGGAATCCTGCAGAAATACCCTGTTGCAGGAGAAGTTTTACTGGTGAAAAGATGCTGAACAGTGGCTAAAATTTTGGCTAGAACTCTTGTTCACAATGCCTTGCTGATGGTATTGTGGAAGCAGCCATCAAATCAGAGCATTAATCTTTTCTATGCCAGAAGTCACCCATCTGCCACCTGCTCAGAAGAGTATAAAAATTATTGTCACATCCATAAGCTAAACACATGAAGCAGCATGTACTATATCAACTGTTTTCATCTCCTTCAAAGTTCTTACTCTTTTTACATATTCTCTCCCAACCAGCATTCAGGATTAATCAGCAACAATCACAGTGATTAAAGAGAAACCAAGGGACTGGAAAATGAGCGTCATCTTCTAAATAGTTTCACATTTATAATATAAGGCCTGAGCATATCCTTATGGCTACTATGATGACAGGGGCCTGGGAGGGATGATTAATATGCAGACCACACCAGTCCCCATTCAGCAGATCTTCCAGGAAGTAGAAGTAGAATCTGTGGGAAGAGGATGATTCATCACTGTATGTGGGCTGAAAGGGGACAGGTGAAAGTATTTGCTACCTACACTTTCAGCAGAAAGCGCTAGCCATTATGTGATAAAAGCATGGAGATGAGCTTCCTTCCGCCCTCAGAAGATTCAGGTGATGGGGATGAGAACTGTTAAGCATTGTTTTGTTTTTTTTTTTTTTTTTTTTTTTGGTGGAGACAGAATTTTGCTGTTCTCCAGGCTGGAGTGCAGTGGTGCAATCTTGGCTTACTGCAACCTCTGCCTTCCAGGTTCAAGTGATTCTCTTGCCTCAGCCTCCCAAGTAGCTGGGATTACAGGTGCCTGCCACCACACCCAGCTAATTTTTTTTGTATTTTTAGTAGAGACGGGGTTTCATCATGTTGTCCAGGCTGGTCTTGAACTTTTGACCTCAGGTGATCTATCTGCCCTGGCCTCCCAAAGTGCTGGGATTACAGATGTGAGCCTCCGTGCCTGGTCCAACCATTGGTTTTTAAAGGGACATATTAACAACATCTGGGATGTGTGTGCAGTGCAGCCTTCCAAACCTAATGACATAGAAACTCTGGTGAGGGGACTCCTATAATCTGTGTTTTAGCCAGTCCTCCAGTTGATTCTGATGCTGGCTAAAATTTGAGAATAACTGTATTAAAATGTATAAGGAATAATAAACTGCTGGTATCACTGTTTGAAAGTCATTGTAATACATTTAGCCTAACTCTTGTTTAAAATTGATGTTCATCATTTAAATAATATATTTGAATATATTTGTAATAGAAAAATGTCATTATTTAGAACCACAACTGCTACCTAGGGATTGTTGATCATTTTTCAGGAAAGTCTGTAATCTCAGGCCCTCTACCGAGTTTAGGTTATCCAAAGCTGGGCCTCGAATTGATTTGATAAGACAGGCCTGGAGAGAACTGAATTGCCCTAAATAAGAGAGTGAAATAATTTAGAATTTTCTTGCACATTGTGGGAAGCAAAGGGGGAGAGAAGAGCAAGCAAATAATGAGGGACCCATGTAGAATGGCCTTATGAAAATTCTTGAAAAGGAAAAAAATAGAAAGGTCTTTTAAAAAAAACATTAAGTTGTTGACTGGGCAGTGCTGGGCAGTAACCTCTCCTGCTCACCACCAAGCTTTGTGCTAAGTGCAAGAGCTGTAAATAACTGCATAGCAGGAAGAAGGATGGGGAGGAATCGGGAATTGTGGGTCTGGGTCTGTGCTGAGGTTGAAGAAGAGAATAGCTGCCAGTGTTGAGCTATGTATGGGTGAGAATTTAGCAGACATGGGAAAGAGGGGCCACAGCACCTAAGACTCCAATGTGTGCTAAAATATTGAGGAGGATATTAGATTTTTTTCATAGGATGCAGAATGGAGGTTTGAGCCAAACTTCTCTTTTAAAGGATTTCATAGTTGGAGGGGACACCTGGGCTCAGATATAGTTAGATATTTGTCTTCCCAAATCTCATGTTGAAATGTAATCCCCAGGGTGAGAGGTGGGAACTCGTGGGAGGTGTCTGGGTCATGAGGGCGGATGCCTCATGGCTTGGTGCGGTACTTGCAATAGTATGTGAGTTCTCACAAGATCTGGTTGTTTAAAAATATGTGGCACTCCCATCTCCTCTCACTCTCCTGTTCTCACTCTTGCCATGTGAGAGGACTTCTCCCCTTGCTATGATTGTAGGCTTCATGAGGCCTCCCCAGAAGCTAAGCAGGTGCCAGCACCATGCTTCCGATACAGCCTGCAGAACTGTGAGCCAACTAAACACTCTTTCCTTTTTTTTTTTTTTTTTTTTTTGAGACGGAGTTTCGCTCTTGTTACCCAGGCTGGAGTGCAATGGCGCGATCTCGGCTCACCGCAACCTCCGCCTCCTGGGTTCAGGCAATTCTCCTGCCTCAGCCTCCTGAGTAGCTGGGATTACAGGCACGTGCCACCATGCCCAGCTAATTTTTTGTAGTTTTAGTAGAGACGGGGTTTCACCATGTTGACCAGGATGGTCTTGATCTCTTGACCTTGTGATCCACCCGCCTCGGCCTCCCAAAGTGCTGGGATTACAGGCTTGAGCCACCGCGCCCGGCCAACACTCTTTCCTTTATGAATTATTTGGCCTCAGATAATTCTTTATAGCAACACAAGAACAGCCTAGTATAGGCTCCACATTTATTACAACAGTTAGATAAATGTTTCCATAGTGAAACTAAAAAGCTACCTGTTGGGTACTGTGCTTATTATCTGGGTGACAAAATAATCTGTACACCAAACCACCACAACACACAATTTACCTTTATAACAAACCTGCACATGGATCCCTGAACCTAACATAAAAGTTTTTTTAAAAAGTAAACTATTAAAAAAAGCAAACAAAAGAGAATGGCAATTCCATATTAAAAACCTGCATAATTTAGGCCAGGTGCGGTGGCTCACACCTATAATCCCAGCACTTTTGGGAGGCCGAGGAGGGTGGGTCACATGAGGCCAGGAGTTCGAGACCAGCCTGGTCAACAACACAAAACCCATTTCTGCTAAAAATGCAAACATTGGGCGTGGTTGCACTTGTCTGTAATCCCAGCTACGCAGGAGGCTGAGGCAGGAGAATTGCTTGAACTTGGGGAGCCAGAGGTTGCAGTGAGCCAAGATCGTGCCTCTATACTCCATCCTGGGAGACAAAGCCAGACTCTGTCTCAAAAAAAAAAAAAAAAAAAAAAAAAAAAAAAAGAAAAAAAAAAAAAAAAAAAAAAAAAAACCCACAAATTTTTAAAAAAAAAAAAAAAAAAAAAAAACCCGCATAATTTGACTTTTAAATTTTTGATGAGAAAAGTGTGTGAAATGGCCCAGTATAGGTCCTCTGAGTGACCTCCTGAGCCCTGCATTACATCGGGCTGTTCTTTTTCCCTTTCAGAACTTTTGTGTTACCTTCCTGTTGTCACTCCCCCAGCCCCTCAGGCTGCTGGACTTTCTCACACATCTCAGAGTTCCCTAAGTGCCTTCTTTCTCTCAGAACTGCATCCCCCCACCCCTTATCTTAACTGCTGCAGTGAATATACTGGCACTCTGTTCAGCAAAGTCCCTGTCAAAAATGTAAAATGCTCTAAGGTGGATCAGTATTCTATCAACTTGAATTTCAAGCTGTATGTCACATTTACTGAAATGGACACAGCCTTTTACACTGAAAAGATAGACTTTTTTGTAGCAGCCTCAGGATCAGGCTATCAGTCACGCTCTAACTTTATAAAGGAGGAAACCAAGTCATCCACAAGTCGCAGAATCATAGCATATGAGAGCTGGGAGGACCTGTGAGATTATCGAGTCTCTTTATTAGCAGATCAAAAGCCTGAAGGGTAAATGAGATGCTCCAGCTAACATGAGTGCCCTTCCACAACACAACAGCCTCTGGAAGTCCTTTCTGTCAACAATGCTGGAGAAAGGCATCAGATCCCATACCCACTGAAGTTTGACTTGAAATGATTCATGCTAATGTAAGTCATTATAGTAACTTTTGCAAACTCTGGCAGTTACAATTATTGATTATTTCAGGGCATCAGTGAAAGATTGGAGATGATAGATTTAAACAATATTTTTTTTGTTACTTGGGTCAAGGTGAATCTTAACAAAATACTTATGAGAATATTATATAGGACTCTGCTGCCTGCTTCTGACTGATACAGAGGAAACTTAGCAATTAAGAGTATATTGGGTCTAATACATTGAATCAAATTCTCACAGTTTTAGTATATTTTTAGTTGTATTGCTTATTTAGGGATTACAGGACATCCTTTTTAATTAAAAAAACAAACACACCTGAAAACTTTCCAACCATTTTATGGTCCAGAGATTTAAAAGATTATTGTGGTACTTATCAAATGAAATTTCACGAACGGAATGATCTGTAAATGTACTTAGTGCAGTGCTGCTTTCCTTGAAAAAATTTAATCAGAGGCGTGCATACTACCTTTCTTTCCTTTTGTGTTTGTTGTCACCTGAGGCAATTTCACAGAAAAGAGAAACATTAAACTGTGTTTTTAATACTATCTTTTAAATAAGGATGTCTTTAATGCCTATATACATTTAAATAGAAAAAATTAATTTATAAATATCAGTTATAAATATCAGTTATGTTATACATTGTGGTTGCTCACATCACTCAGATATCCTCTCAACAAAAATTTCTTCCTTGACAATGCTCTTTCTTCTCTTTCCCAAGCTGGCAATTGTTTCTGGAATTTCCCAAGCTTTCCCATCTTTGACTCTTTGGAGAGGTGCTAGGTCCCCTGCTGTCAAGGCCCTTACTCCACATAAGCTGTACAATTCTCTATTTGGGTTAACCCCTTCAGCTGAGGAATTAACCAGAAAAATTCAAGATTAGTTCATTTTAGATGTGCCGACAGGGAAAATGAATCAATTCTAGATAAGATTAGAAGACAAAATTAGCAACAAAGGAATGTCCCAAAATTTTACATTTGTGCCTCTTTTAGTCGATTTGGGCTACTATAACAGGATGCTGTAGACTGGGTGGCTTAAACAACCAATATTTAATTCTCAACAGTTCTGGAGCCTGGAAAGTGCAAGACCAAGGTGCTAGCAGATCCAGTGTCTGGTGAAGGCCTGCTTTCTGGTTTGCAGATGGCTGCCTTCTATTCTCACATGGTAGAGATCAGAGAGAAAAGCCCCAAGCTCTCTGCGGTTTCTTCTTATAAAGGCCCAGTCCTATTCACGGGAGTTCTACTCTCATGACCTCATCACCTCCCAAAAGCTTCACCTCCTAATACCATCTTATTAGGGGTTAGGATTTCAACGTATGAATTTTGGGGGGACACAAACATGCAGTCCATTACACTGCCCCGCTTTACCAAGTCACGTGCTCACAATGCACCACTTACACTTGAAGTCTTCAGTATCATAGCACACACTGCTTATTCTGAAACGCCCTTCCTCCCAACTAACCAGTACTGCATGAAATGAAGGATGTCAGGTGTGATTAGTAACAGATGCTCTGAAATGTCACACCCATATACTATTTAAAATATACCTTATTGTTCAGTTCAAGTGTCAAGTAAACTTAGGGTGCTCCTTTATTGACCTTGGCCATTAGTATATATGGGAGAGGAAGTAGATCAAAGAAAGTGGGAAGAGCAGAAGTAGCAGTGTCATGCTTGGCAGTCATCTACACATGAATGTAGTTTTGTGAATGAAGAAAACCTCATATTACTTAGCATAAGTAAAGATGTTGGGCAGCCAGGAAAAAAAAATAAGAACAGAAAAATTGAAAAGGGATGGGAAAAGAAAGAAAACCACTTAATTTGGAATTCATCCCTGATCCACTAGTGGCAGCCACAGCTAGCTTGGGAACCTTGGACAAATTCCTCAATCTTGATGAAATGCATTTTCCTTATCAGAAAATAATGAACACAACACAGACTTTTTTGTATAGTCATTGTGAGGATTAAATGAATTAGTACACTTAAAGCACCAAGAACTGTGCCTGTAAGTGCTCTGTGACAGCTAGCAGATAGAATAACATTACCTGCTTTCAGAGTAGAAACTCTGTTTTGTTGATTTTTCTGTGGGTAGTGCCTGCAACAAGGCCTAGGTTAAGATGTGGCCTGTAGTTGGTTTTCAATAAATGTTTGCTGTGTGATTGGATGAATGTCAAAGCTGAAGAGATTTGATAACCTTATAGATATAGATTGTAAACAATCCTCCACTGAATAGTGCCAGATATTTCAGAATGATGAATAATTCAGGAGGATCATGATTATGTTACTGGCTGCCTTTTAATGGACATCCTTTTAATTATCAGTATGTTTATGATTCTGTTTTGGATACCTCAGGGGTGGTATGAAATGAAAATCAAAAGGTGGGTAGATGTAATAGGAAGGAAGAAATAAGGGTATTCAGGCATCAGATGACACCTGTAGCAGCTCCTCATGGTAAAGCCACATGAGTTGAAGGAATGTGTAGCTTTGAAGTAGAGAAAGCTTTAGGGGACCAGCTCTTTTGTGGATTAGATTTATGCTGTGTAGCTCAGGACCAAAGTACAACATTAACTGGAGACAAGATTTAGATTCATTGTAAAGGACATTTCAGAAATGGCAACAGTGACCTTATAAAAGGGGTGAGTCCTTGGAACTGTAAATGGAAACTAAACAGCCACATGTTATTTATGCAATTGATAAGATTCTAGCATGGCCTAGAAGACTGAAACCGTAACCTCCATTGGGTGTTTCGATACTGATTTTTAAGGTGGGGAAATGAATCCACAGATTTGGGTTCCAGTCTAGGTTCTGCCACTTAGGGAGCATGACCCTGGGCAAGTCACTTATTTTCTCAGGGTCTCCTAAGCCACCTGCCCCGAGGAAAGTTTTTTCAATCACATGAATTAATGTACAATCTCGTTACACATATTGTTAAGGCCTACTTGCTTTTACTGCTTATTTTTCATTTTCTGCACATTCATCAAGTGCTCTATTCATTGGAAATTGTGCTTAGCATTGTGATTTATTTTAATAAAATGCATATTGTTTTCTTTAGGAGCTTTTTTGGTGGAAATTCTACTTATTCAAGTAAAACCTGATGTCAGAAATGGAAAATTTTACTAAATAAAATATATTAAATTTATAGCTCATTTTTTTTCCCACAGAGAATTTAAAGCAGGATATTTTTCTGATGAAAACATACCCTGTAGAGTTATTAGAAGACATTCTCCTGTTCAATTTTAGATTGTTGGAATTTAGTGGGTTAAGTTTATAAGCCTTTACTCATGCTGATAAGGACAAGATTCTCATCAAAACTTCCTATAATTTGCTTTTTAACTTTGTAGAAAATGAATCAATAGTCTGTGATGACCCTGATTTTCCTGCTTTCAAGGGCTATTCAAGTAGCTTGGATTAATTTTGCTAGAAAATCCTCAAGCAGTTAATTTTTAATAGAAACTAATGAGAATTTTATCCTGAAAACCATGTTCTTTCATTTTAATACATAGTATATGGTTGGCTGCCTTTGCTGATGCATTGCCACCTTTAGGAGAACAGTATCAAGTAGCAGTCTATCAGGTGCTGATTGGTGTAATTCATTCTTTTGGGCATAGGCGGCCATGACCAGATTTGGAGTGCATTGGGGTTTGGAGGTAAGGAAAGGGATCAGATAGTAACACCCACTGAGCACACCTACTATATGCCAGAATTCTCATTTAATTTCGTAATGCATATTATCCCTGTTATCTTGGTGATGAGATTGAAGTTCTAAGAAGTTAATTGACATGCCCAAGATCCCACATTTATTAAGCGATGGAGGTGTGATTTGTATCTTCATTTTGGTTATTTGAATGACCGATGCCTCTCGTTGGCATGGTCCTCCTCTCACAATGATGAGCTTCAAACACACACACGTAAACAGGTTGTTATCATTGTTATCCTCACCTTTGTTGTGGTGCCATTGAAAAGATGATTAAAAAAAACCAAAAGGTATACATAGTCTAATTGTTTTCTACTAGCAAGATTTTACTGTTTCATATTATACCTTTTAGAAATGAACTATACTAAAAGAAATCAAGAAAATGAAAGAAATATTAGTTCCTTGTAACCATATGGCATCTTGTTTCACTTTATCATAGTGAAAGGAGGTAGTGTTATATGCACATTTTGTTTTATATGAAGGCATCTAAAAATAACATTGGAGAATATATACTGGTATTTTTGAAGTTTTTGGATGAAGTATAGTTACAGTTTTAATGAGAGATAGTGGAATACATTTGTGAACTCTTATTTCCCTTGATACCTAGAGAACTCCATGGTTTCATGACAAATACTTTTTTTTTTTTTTTGGCAGACAAAAGCTTTAATGTTTTTAAGTAAAAGATGGCGTGACCCTTTTTGTAGCTAGAATGAAAATTATGCTGAATGGACTATTTCTACAGCCCATGACCCCGTTGGAATGATAGCATACAGGATGTAAAGTATGTATGCCTCACTCTTGGCTCTGACCTCAGGGCCTAACTTTTACTTAGTTACTGTGTTTGCCAGGATATATATTGAATTTTTCTAGTTTTATATACTCATTTCTCCTACTACTTTGAGAACAATTTGAGAGGAGGAATGTATTCATTTTTAGATCCCTAGAGCCTAGGATGTACAAAGTCTTTAATAAATGTTGATTAACTGTTTTCGTTTTTAAGATAGGGTCTCACTCTGTCACCCAGGCTAGAGTGTCGTGATGTGATCAGAGCTTACTGCAGCCCTGAACTCCTGGTCTCAGACCTACACCTCAGCCTCCCAAAGTGCTGGGATTATAGGCAGGAGCCACCATGCCCAGCTGATTAACTGTATCATATATGATGACTTATTCATCCAACCCATCTTCCTAAATAAAGTTGGTCTTAACTAAGGAAACTGCTCTCAGCTTTGGAACTAGCATTGGGCAGGTCAATTTCAAAGTCTCTACCTCTCCTGTGATTTAATATACCAACTTGCCTCTGACACCTCAACTATACCCCTTTTTACCACCAACCACTTTACCTGCTCCCTGGTATTGACACTCTGCTTTTCTTTTCTTTTTTCTTTTTTGAGACAGAGCCTTGCCCTGTTGCCCAGGCTGGAGTGCAATGGTGTGATCTCGGCTCACTGCAGCCTCCATCTTTTGGGTTCGAGCAATTCTCCTGCCTCAGCCTCCTGAATAGCTGGGACTGCAGGCGCATGCCGCCATGCCCAGCTTATTTTTGTATTTTTAGTAGAGACCGGGTTTCACTTGTTGGCCAGGATGGTCTTGATCTCCTAACCTCATGATTTGCCTGCCTTGGCTTCCCAACGTACTGGGATTACAGGGGTGAGCCACTGTGCTTGGCTTAAAACCCTGCTTTCTCTTGAAGATACTGCTTTTCTGGTGAACTTTTCTAGTGGAGGCCCTGCCTTCTCTTATTCCTCTAGGTTCATAGGGGCTGATATCAAATCTGCAGAATTCCTTACATACCCCTCGAACCCTTCTACATCAGGGCTGCCAACAGAAATATAATGCTGGCCTCCATATGTCACTTAAAATTTTCTGTTTGCTGTATTAAAACATAAAAAGAAACAGGTGGAATTAATTTTAATTATGTGTTTTATTTAGCCTAACGTATCAAAAATTATTGTTATTATTTATTTTTGAGATGGAGTCTCTCTGTCACCAGGCTGGGGTGCAGTGGGATGATCTCAGCTCACTGCAACCTCCACCTCCGGGGTACAAATGATTCTCCTGCCTCAGCCTCCTGAGTAGCTGGGACTATAGGCATGTGCCACCAAGCCCAGATAATTTTTGTATTTTTAGTAGCAACAGGGTTTCACCACGTTGGCCAGGTTGGTCTTGATCTCTTGACCTCGTGATCTACCTGCCTTCGCCTCCCAAAGTGTTGGGATTGATTACAGGTGTGAGCCACTGTGCCAGCCAAAAATTATTTTAACATGAAATGAATATAAAAATTATTAATGAGTTGTGTTTTATTCTTTTATTTGTACTAAATCTTTGAAATCTGGTATGCATTTCATACTTTAACAACATGTGTCAATTCAGACTAGCCATAATTCAAGTGCTGAATTGTCCCTGATGTCTAATAGTTACCATATTGAACAACTGGTTTAAATCATGTTTCCTTGGCAATTTCTCAATATTTCAGAGCCTTTTCCTTATGCCACCTGTTTGTTGTAATCTTTGTTGTGACCAATAAGATAATTTTTACTTTTGTCAATTATTCTAGCATCAACTGCCCCTTCCTCTGCTATCATCTTTGAAAACTCTCATATCTATTGAGAGATTATGATCTCTTAATGTCTTATCATAGCTCTGCTTTACCCATCACTATCATATCCTCTTCACTCTAAAATCGCTCAAGCACCATAATTCTTTCTTCTTACTATGATTCATAACGTTCAGTTTTTATCTATTCTCATATTCTTTCTCCAAAATTTTTTTTGGATTTGGGTGGAATCATTTTTACATTTATTTTAGCTATAAGCTTGTGTATTAATTAAATTGTTGTGCCTACCAGATCTCAGAAAAACGATCATTGATCCATGTGTCAAATATTTATTAAACATCTGCTATTTATTTGTTATATACTTTTCTAGGTGCTGAGGATAAAGCAGTGGAAACACAACATAGACCCTTGCTCTCATGGAGCTTGTGTTCTACTGGTGGAACAGATGAGAAAAGCTATTGTCATATGTTGTATATCAGGTAATGATAAATGTCATGGAGTAAAATAAAGCTAAGAAAGGTGGCCAAGTGTCAGGGGTGGGGTTGAAAATTAGATAACATGGCCAACAAGGATCAGCAGAGAAATGACATCTGTGCACAGCACTGGAGGAAGTTAGGCAGTGAGCCACTCAGGTATCTTGGGGTGGAGTGTTTCAGGTAGAAGGAACAGCAAATGCAAAGGCCTCAAACCTGCCTTCAAGCTTTTGCTAATATGAGAAGCTGATAGAGAAAAATTATCCAGAGAAAAAAGTAGCAATTGATTTTTCCTCCAAATAGATGACTAATGGAAGCAGTATAAAAATGGGAAATGGCAGAAGCCACCAAGTCTAGCCCTGCTCACTTGCTGATGAGAGAACTGACACTCATAACAGTTATGTGGCTTTCCCAAGATCAAGCTCTAAAATGGGAGGTTTGACTCTGGACCCAGGTGTCCTGACACTAAGCCTGCCATGTTTTTGTTCATGCTGAATATGCATGATAATTTTGTGGTTACCCTGGTGGCATGGTTTGATGCTCTAATGCAGTTCTAATGCTAAACTCCCCTAAGAATTGGACGGATTCCCCAGGTTAAGTACAGAGCCCCTAACAAAAGCACCCTCACTTTGGATGCCAGTCACAAGTTTAGGGGTGCCCAGGCCACCTGCATTTCTGACCAACCACAAATTTGGGGTTTCCCTCAGATTTGATAATTCACTAGAATGACTGACAGAACTCAGGAGAGCACTGTGCTTAAGGCTATATTTTTATTATAAACATACAAATCAGCACCAATAAAATGAAGAGATATATAGAACCAGGTCTGGAAGAGCCTAGAACACAGAACTTTCATGTATTCTCCTCCTCACTCTTTTTTTTGGACACAGGGTCTTGCTCTGTTACCCAGACCAGAGTGCAGTGGTATGGTCATAGCTCACTGCAGCCTCTATCCCCTGGGCTCAAGTGATCTTCCTGCCTCAGCCTCCTGAGTAGCTGGGACTACAGGCAAATGCCACCATGCTTGGCTGGTTTTTGTTTTTCTGTTTTTTTGTAGAGACAAGGTCTCACTGTGTTTCCCAGACTGGTCTCAAACTCCTGGGATCAAGTGATCCTTTCACCTTGGCCTCCCAAAGTTCTGAGATTACAGGCCTGAGCCGAGGAGCCCAGTCTATTCTCCTTTAGGATCAGGACACACTGTCCCCGGGCACATCAGTGTGTTCACCTATCTACCAGAGAGCTCACTGGAGCCTTGGTGTTCAGAGTTTTTTGTTTGTTTGTTTGTTTCATTACATGGTGTTAAAGCAAACTAAATATGGCCTGAGAAGTTCTCTGTACTTTTGTATTTGAGTCCTTGTGGAGGAACTGCAACCTATCTTAATTGTTAGACAGAATTGAAAACCTAACTTAATAGTATGTAGCTTTAACACCTTTAGCTGAATGTTGGCCAGTCCTAGCGGCCATGATTCAACCACTCACAGACTGCTGAATGTTCAAACTGTGTTCAAATAAGGCAAACGCTGAGCTGTAACCAATCTTACTGTTTCTGTACCTCATTTCCAGTTCCGGTACATCACTTTCCTTTTTTGTCTATAAATTTGTTCTGCACAAGGCATCCCTGGAGTCTCTGTGAATCTGCTGGGATTCTGGGGGCTGCCCAATTTGCGAATTGTTCATTGCTCAATTAAACTCCTTTAAATTTGATTTGGCTGAAGTTTTTCTTTTATCAATGGGCATGATTGATTGAATCATTAGCTACATGATTGAACTCAATCATTAGACCTTTTCCTCTCCCCAGAAGTAGGGCTAATATCACCTGACTCAAAGCCTCAACCCTTTAATCACATAATTGGTCTTTCTAGCTTGGCAGCCCCCTTCTAAAATTATATAGTGGCCTACCATGAGAAGTTTCATTAGCTACTGATATACCTACTCATAGTGTGGAACCTACATGTGTTCTGAGGATCTACCAGAAATAACAGATACGTCTGTCAATTTGGAAATTCCAAAGGCTTAGAAGCTTTCATCCCCAGAACCTGGGATGAGGACCAGACACATTTTTTGTTTATATAACAAAGAGAAATTTAAAAACTGTTTGGCTTATAAATTTTATTATAGGAAAGCTAGCCCAGAGATAGGAAAATAGCAACTAATGGAGGCCAAAAAGTCCTATAAAGAGAATCATCATGGTCAAAGCTCGTTCATCTCTTTGTTAGAGAGGTACCTGCTAAGGGTTTAAGAAAATGATAAGTGTGTTTAACTCATGTTTCTGATTCAAGCCTCTTCTAGAGGACATGGCATTGCAAACAGATTGAAATTGCTGAGAATGAAGTTGATGTCACCCATTCCTTGGCTTGAGGGCTTTGGCAATTCCCCTTTCATTACCTCATAGAAGAGGAAAGATCTTTGCTAATGAAGTTCTTTCTGGTGTCTCCTGGGGAGAGGGTAAATCTCACAACAGATACTTGTTCAGTTGCTTCCTGTGTCTCCTCCATCATTTTCCATGATCCCTGCAGGATTTTTCAAGCTTAAACAAGCACTTACTTGTGTTTGATATCTAGTTAAAAAGCTAAATAAATAACTTGGTTGGAAAAGAAGAAAAACATTGCACATACAGAGAGTTAAATATTCTATGGTAGACAGAACTTGATCATTTCACAAGTATTTTTCACTTGCTGTTTTTACTGTTGAAATTTTATTGAAGTATTTTAAAATTCATTCAAGTGTTTATTCAGCAAACTTCTTTTTGGCGTATTCGGCATGTCAAGGGCACTGTATGGAACCATGCTAACACACAGGATCGGGACTGCATCTCCCCTTTCAGAGCTGCAGCTAGATGATTACAGTACAGTGTGGCAACTTTAATTGGTGTAGTTATTTCTCATGTACTGTGGAAGCACAGAAGAGAACTTAAACGACCCCCAGGGAGTAGAGATATTAGGTCAGGGAAAGTTTCTTGGAAGAGATAATGTCAGAATTAAAGTGTTTACGAATGAATAGACATTTTCCTGGGCAAGGGCATAATGAAGGATTATTCCAGGCAGTCTGTTAAGACATGAGCAGAGAGACCTGGAGGTGAGCTGTTGAATTGTGTGCTTGAGAAACAGAAGCAGTTCTGTGGAATGTACAGAGAATTGTAAGAAATGACCTGAAAACAATAAGTGATCACATCATGTGCCATGTTAGTAGACCTTGGAGATCTTTTCAAAAAGGAGCTCGATAACAATGAGAAAGTACCATTTAAAACAAGGTGCTCTCATGTGAGAATACGAATTGTGAGAGAACGTGCTTTGTGCACTTCAGGAGAATGAGTAATGCTGCTGTGGGAGGATGGTAGAGTTAGGAATTAAAAAGAGAGATTCTGTTAGAGGTAACAAGGTAAAGGTTATACAGAAAACAACTTATTCTAGGAAAAAAGGGTTCACTAAGTATTATGTAAATCTGAATAGATCTGGGCTATAGTTTTAATGCTATGCAGAATGGAAGCTGCTTGGTGACATGTTTAGATCCCTGTTCAAATACTTCCAAGTTTAGAAGGGAAGCAAATTCCAGCTTGAGATTACTAAACATTATTGTACTATATATGTAGGTGGTTTATTTATGGATATGAATGTACGTTTATGTATCTATTCACTAAAATACAAGCTCCCTGAGGGCGGAAGTAAGGTTTTCTTAATTTAATTTCATTATTGTGTCCTTAGAGCCTAGAAAAATGACTGGTATATAGTAGCCCCTCAATTAAATTTTGTTGAAGGAACTGAATATGAAGAAACTAAGATGTATACCCTCGTTAAACTGTATAGGGGAAAAGGCTTCATAATAGATATTCTACATTTAGTATAGTAAATGAATTTCAAAATCAACAAAATGTTAAGCTAATATTACCCAAAGACTAGAGTTATGTTTGGGAAAAATGTCAGCAGTGGTTTCCATATAAGACGATTTATTTTTAGCTTGATTGTACAGAAGTGATCTCATCTTTTATTATAGATTTCTCTGGAGCATTAATGTGTTGATGATCCTGAACCTCTGTGCAGCTCCTTTGGGAAGAGGTACATACTTAGTCATACCTTTATATTGGAATAAAACTTGGAAAAGTGATGCCAGCCTCAGTTTGTGTTGACTGTATTCAAGAAGGAAGTTATATTACATCAGCAACAGTTAGTTTGCTTTGGAAATTTATGCTGAGCCATTAAGTCCAGTATCCATAAGAAAAATTAGGATAAAGGCTGAAAGATGTTACACATATGAAAGATTGTTAATAAAGTGGAAGTCGTTATCTGTAGGCATAATATTATTCATTGCTAGATTCATTGCCATTAGAATACACTGATAATCTTTGAGTCTTTCTCTCCCTTTGACTTTAGCTCCTTGGATATTGTTTCTTTTTTATATACAATCCTATCCTTCTACTCACTTTACTAAGAGACTCAATTCAGGGTTGATGTCCCATTAAATGTCCTGTTTGCTTAAGTCTCAGAGACTGGCACAGAGGATCCCTCAACAAATACTTCTTTGAGTGAATCCCTTTTGTAATGTTAAAGTATTGAAGCAGTTGGTGTATGATCATGATGATTCCTTTGCAGGGTAGGAATGAGTTCTTAGCATAGTAGGGTTTCTAATTTATTAACTTTCCAATGTGACTAATGGAGTAAAATCAGTAGGTATTAATAAACGGTTTGACTAATGGGATGAATGTCTATGGTTGCAACTTTTGTTAATCCTGGATATGTGAACATCATGAGGCTTTATTTGGGGTTATGGCTCAAAATTGAGATACATGATACACTTAATTCTTGGATCCTACCACGTTTTTCAAATTTGTTTGTGGCCAGGAGCCTTTATGTTATCATTTAAACTTGCTGGGTTATAGTTAATAAGAATAGATATTTGATGCTTTCAGCATGTAAGATATGAAAGGAAATATTTAATGACTTCTTACCTGTGAGAATACATATATTTTTACTACTATTCAAAAGAATTTATTCTACTATAATCTTAATTTTCAATGTGTGTGATAATGCTTAGCCACAAACCATACAAATTTACAGTTTGTTTAGTTGTAAGAAGCCTTCAGAAATTGGTGTATAACCCATAGCCAATATTGGGACCATATAAATATTTAACAAAATATTAAAAAGAGAGGTCCTGAAATTACATAGTGATTCAGCAGAGTTAATAAAGAATTTTTTTGGATACAGTGCTGAAAAAATCATGGAGTCTTGAGTCAATGTTTCTTCTCTGGTATTTTATCTAATATTCTCAGATTTCTAATTTCTGGGGTTGAATTTATCCTCTTTCATTTCTCTTGTGTCCCTTTATTTAAAAGGATTTACATAATGGTTGCTTCACTGTTTTCTAAGCCTGAGATAATCTTTCCAAACTCAAAAAGACAATTATGCCTATTATTTTTGCTTAAGAATTTAAATAGTGCGTGTAGATTTTAAGATCTCTTGTATTTATTAGATGACTACCATCTACTTCTCCCTTGTTTTTCTCTGTCAATCTTCCTCAACAAGCATGCCCTAGCTTCCCTTTCTTCATTATTCTACTCATTGGTTAATCACCTGCCAGAGTGATATTCTTTGTTATTCTTCTTCTGATAATTCCAAGGACATCAGGGGCCTCCTAATCACGCAGTGTTCATTCTTTTTCCTTGATGAAATCATTGGCCTTGGTGGTTGTCCCTCTGCAGTATTTCAATGTTCCCTCTGCCTCTGGATGATCATGATGATTCCTTTGCAGGGTAGGAATGAGTTCTTAGGGTAGTTCTTAGGTGAATTCTTAGCCTATGACACGGGCTGGTCAACATCGTGCTCTCTAACTGCTTCTCCTTTCTCTCTCTTCCTCCAGTCCTTAAAGTTAGCAATGTTAAAATTCTATTCTTGGCCTCTTGCTTTTCCCTTTTATTTTCTTTCTTGTGAAGATGTTTTAACTCTGTCCTCTTGACATTCAATATCTATCTGAAGACAGTAAGTTTGGAAAACAACAGGGCAGAACAAAGTGCAGAGAGAGCTGGGAAGTGCATTGCATCTTAAAAATACTTCGCTCTTCGATGAGTTGGGAGAGGATCCCACCTAACCATTGAAACTGCTCTAAATTACACTAGAATCCTGGTGCCAGGATAGATCTGGCACACCTACCTTCCCTTTACTTTAAATCTTGGATTCAATCTGCTCCCTGGTAAACAGAGAGTGAGGCTAAGAGCTTTCTAAATCACGTGTTTCGTCAACACATTAGTCTGAATAGAACGTCTTCCTTCTAGGATGAAAACAGCGTAAACCCTAAATTTGGGGCTCATAACATAACAGTGCAGGTTAAGGGAAAGACTCATCAAGCTTAAGGGTTAGAAAAAAGGATTGTATGTATATATATATTCTTTTGCCAGAAATAACATGCTATTTTAGATAAGTTTCAGGTATCCTAAATTGACTACTGAGGGCAGTCTCCATGAAAGAGTTTAAAGGCCAAAAGAAAGTATGTTTTGAGGTTAAAAAAAAGAGAGAGAGAACCTGTATAACTGGACAACATGAGCAAAAGAAGGCAAGGGAAAAAATAACCCAACCAAACAAAATGGTGGATTAAAATTTACATTGGAGTGTTTAAGGAACAGAATTGGCGTAATGAAAAATATAGTCAGTCATGAGTAGGATGCTTATGAAAAGCGCTTCTAGAACACAGAGAAAAGGGCACTGAGATGAGAAAGGCAGATGAGCCGGTGACAGAAGTGAAGGACTGGGCTCAAAGGCCCACCTCTTTCAGGATGTAGGAATACAAATGTGGTTGCCTGTTGTGGGTATCCTTATAAGGTAGTCAGATACATAGAAGTAGGGGAGGCTTCCTGGCAGACATAAAATTTTAGTTATGCTTAGAATAGGTAATACTTGAGCAGGCAAAGACAAAGGAGGAAAGGCATTCTAGGAGAGTGGCAGGTTGGATCAGGACAGAGAGATATGAGAGTGTTGGATATTAATTTATGACTCAGAAATATTTTGCATCATCTTCCATGTGGGAACCTCCAATTTTGGTTTGACAATGAGCAAGACAGAAAGGATCTGTTCCTTTACGGAGCTTACATTCAAGAGGGAGGAAGCCAGACAATATACAAGGGAATGAATACTTAAATAAGATAATTTCATATCATGATATGTTTTGTGAAGGAACCAAGTCAAATGTGGTAGAGAGAAACTGGAGTTGGGGGAATCCCCAGTTAGGTAGGGTGGTCAGGGGAGCCTTTTCTGAAGTGATGATGTTTGAGGTGAGACACGAATTGTAGGATGAACCCAGCCATGCAGAGTCAGAAGAGCCTTTCAAGAGAAGGAATGGCAGGTACAGAGGCATTGAGGTGCAGAGCATGTTCAGGAAGTGATCTGTAGCCTCACGTATATGGTTAGACTTGTAGCTAAACTTCTAATCCGGGTTCTTATTTCCACACAAAGACTGGAAGAACATTTGGAGAGAGAACTAGTCTTGGGAGTTAAAATGAGGCGTGGTTCCATTCTCAGCTCTACCAATAATTGTCTTGAGAACTTTGGGCTAGTTATTTAACCTTTCTTGACTTCATTTCTCTGATCCATGACATGAGGGTAATGGTCTAGAGATGTACACTGCACTTGGGTAAACGTACCGTCTATCCCTGGGGATACACAGTGGTGTCTCAGTAGATGTCAACCCAGAGCCACAGTATAGATAGACACTGTGTAGCTTCCTGGACTATTAATTTCACTAAGGGTTTGGGAAAATGCATGTGTAAATAATATGTTTTTGAGATTACAAGGTCAAATGCCGAGATATTTCATGCTTTTGACAAGCTACGTCAGACACTATTTCCACACTCATAAAAATGCTTCCTGCATAAATTTCAGTGGGAAAGTTTCAAAACCATTAATATAGACAATCTCTAAGGTATTTTTTATCCATGGGCTTGTGATCCATGATTCTCTTAAAGGCTCTTCATTCTTGAATTATTTATTGTTAACCTTTTTTTAAATGAATGAATTATGCAAAGTAGATTATTTTATGTTGCTTTTAATTCAAGGGGACTTCTTGGCAATTCAACGAAAAGGCTTTAAAACCAAAGTACTTCTAAGTGTTGTGGGGAGTATTAAACATAAAGTTTAGAGAGAGGGAAAATAATCTTATAAATTACTTGTGATGAATATTGTTCTCTTTTCCCAACAATAATCACAGATGCTTCACTCTCCAACTGGGTCTTAGAGGAGATATGTTTCCCTTTTGATCAGAATTTACTTTTTTTTTTTTTTTTTTGGGGGGACGGAGTTTCGCTCTTGTTACCCAGGCTGGAGTGCAATGGCGCGATCTCAGCTCACCGCAACCTCCGCCTCCTGGGTTCAGGCAATTCTCCTGCCTCAGCCTCCTGAGTAGCTGGGATTACAGGCACGCGTCACCATGCCCAGCTAATTTTTTGTATTTTTAGTAGAGACGGGGTTTCACCGTGTTGACCAGGATGGTCTCGATCTCTTGACCTTGTGATCCACCCGCCTTGGCCTCCCAAAGTGCTGGGATTACAGGCTTGAGCCACCGCGCCCAGCCCAGAATTTACATTTTAAAATATACCTGTGTCAAAAGCACATTTTCTTTTCTCCTAATTTGGAGTTCAAGCAACATTTTCCAGAGGTTTACATGGGGATACTTTAACTGTAACTAAGAGAAAACACCGCTTAAACTGGCATAAACAATAAACAGAGACATGATCAAACAGAACTGAAGTCTGGATCGCAGGCAGTGCCTTGCTCCATTTAGCTGAGACCTCAGCTCTGCTCTATTCTGTGTCTCTATTTTTCTAAAATTGGCTTCCACTCTGGTCACAAGATAATTGCCACTAGCAGCAGCAGTTGTCCCTAATTGGAGTGGGAGAAAGAACGTCTTCTCCAATCAGGGACTAAAAATCTTTTCTTTCCTTCAGTCTGACTAACTTAGGTCATGTACTCACTCCTGAACCATTATCACCAAGGCTAATGAAACGATCGTGATAAAAGTAGGCTACCTGGACTTAGCATTGGGTTTGGGGATAGGATTGTTCCCCCTGAGAATGATAGGCTGCACTGGAGAGTGGAAACCTGAACAAAATCATGTCTCCATTAGGAAAGAGGAAGGGGGGGGTGGATATG